CCCCAAAACCCCAAAACCCCAAAACCCCTTATTACAAATGACTGGTTGAAAACTTCTCATTAAGCATCACTTTTTCCATCATCGGTACTTGCATCTGTCTTTTCATCAATTGGGCGGACATAGTCTGGAATCTCACGGTATTCTGGGATCTCTGCATCATCTCCTAAGTATTGGAATGATCAATGGTGCGCATATCTATCGTCAAGTTCCTTCCAGTTAGCTTCCCAGGTTTGTTCTTTTAGCTTCTTGACAAAATCAACCTTGTTTTTCTCGTCAAAGATGACCAAATTATGCCCATTTTCGATCATAATATAGCAATCATTAGCAAGGAGTTGGTTGAAGTCTTTATTAATCCTATCGGATCAACGCATTGAGAGAACAGCAATATTAAAAAGGTCCTTGAACTTTGACTTAACATAAAGAGTATCGATCTTTCCTGTCAGCAGATGGATCTTTACATTAAGTCTTTTAAATCCTTCTAGAAGAACTCTTTCCTTTTGGTCATCTCTAGAAACTTCTTTAGCCTCTTCTTCAGCATCTTGTTTGGATTCTTCCTTGGTCTCTTCCTGTGGATTATCTTCTTCTTGGCCTTCATCTTCTTCTTTGATTTCTTCAACTTTGTTTTCTCTATCTTTCTTTTTCTTTTCTCTGTAATTCTCTATTTCTTTAATGATTTCAAAGGGAGCAACATATTCTTCAAGTGTCTCAAGTTTGGTTGTGTACCCTTCTACGTGGTACTCAACTATATCTGTGGCATTGTATGGTCGCTGGAAATTATATTCCTTATCGAATTTCTTCCTATCCTCCTCATTTTCTACTTCAATACCCATTGGGATGTAAGGAGAGTTGATGATGTCTCCCCAGAATCCTCTGACAAGACAACTGTCTCCAGACTTTTTCTTCTTTCCTTCTACATAAGAGCTCATTGACCTGTTGGATACTTTGGAATCAGCCAAACGTGTTTCAAAAGCTACTCCAGTCATTCTAAACTTCAAGTATTTATCTTTATCGACGAACTTGGTAAACTTCTTAATGTGAAAGTTGTAGTCCCAATCAATAAGGTTCTTTCTGTGATCATATCTAGTCTTGAAGTATGCTCTTAGTCTCTGATCTCTTAAAGATTCAATATCAAAAGGAACTGAAAGGCGCCAGCAGTTGACTATATCCTCAATTTCATCTCTTTCTTTAAACTTTAACGAGTCGAAATCTATCAAGTCCATGAGAACACTCTTGCATTTTCTGTGTTCTGTGATTAGTCTGCTGACCTCAACAGAAATGTCGTCCAAATACTGAGCAGTCTTACTCCTGATCATTGTGTTTCCATAAAGATCTGTGAATAGCTCCATTCTTTCCCTAAAACTCAACTGTGTTTCACTTATAATAGTCAATAACAATAAGTCTCTTGCTAAGTTCTCGGGATCTGTCTCGTGGATATAAATGTTTATGGGATTTTCTCTGTTAGTCCCTGGATGCAAACTCTCGCTTAGAGATTTTAAAATGTGTCTGATATCTGAACAGTCTGATAAAAGGATATTTAGTTCAGAGCTATCATCATTAACGTTTAGAGCAATGTCAGGTGAAGGTTTGAAGAAGTTTATACTCGGGCTTAATCCATAATAAGATTTGAATCCAAGCGCTTCGATTTTTTCCATTTTTGTTAAAAAATTCAAATTTTAGATCTTAACCCGGGGTTTTGGGGTTTTGGGGTTTTGGGGTTTTGGGG